CTTTTATTACAATTTGTTTAGTACAATGAATCTACCTATCCGCTGGCTTTCCGTGCATGAACCCTAAATGTTTGTCTTTTTCCTTCTTCTCCACAGATGACTGTACTTTCTCCTGTCTGAACATCATGCTTCCCCGTGCGGGTAAAGAGTTTCTGGTCCGGATACGGTTCTCCTGGAGGCCGTTCTTCCAAGGCCGCTACCTGCTGGTCACCAATATCATGAGTGGAGGGGTGATGCTGTCTCTGGGAGACATCCTACAGCAGACTCGGGAGAAACACAGGGATCCTGGCAAAATCAGAGACTGGAGCCGAACAGGTGACACAGAGTTTTATGCATTTAATGTCATACACCATTTTCTTATTTTGGCTGATATGCAGGAGAGCTCCAGATCTGTACAGTTTCTAAAATAAAAATATAATGAACTCAAGTAATTTTGGACAAAAGCATCTGCATTGTTGTTAGAATTATCATTTGATTTGGGGATACAGAGGAGAGCATGCCAAAGAACATGTGCAAAACAAATGTAGTTGTCAGCAGTAAAGATTCTGCCAACAGGATTATGCTTAAACACTTTTTAAAAAACAATTCTTACAAAATAAAAAGGAACTCCTACTATTTTGTAATAATCTCATGTTGGGCTATCATGATTTATTTCATGCACGGCTGTTCTCTGTTTGGCTTCAAAGCTCGCATGTTTGCCGTGGGCTGCTCCATGGGTCCTCTCCTGCACTACTGGTACATCTGGCTGGACAAAGTGTACGCGGGCAAAGCTCTCAAAACCTTGGTCAAGAAGGTTGTGGTGGACCAACTGGTTGCTTCCCCGACCCTGGGCGTGTGGTATTTTTTAGGTGAGAAGGAATTTACTGGTACTAAGTCCTGCTTCTCACACATTGTTCAGGGTGTGAGCACATGAACAGTTTGTCAGTGACGCGCACACACACACGCACACTTGAGAGATCGTGTTCAAAGGTTGCGCATAAAGATGTGGGTAAGGAAAACCCCCGCGTATAAGACATATATGGGGTTCAAAGGGTATCTGTTTCGAGTAGGCTCAAGTTTAGCAGTTCATGTTTATAAGAGCGCTTATCTGAGGGTGGTTTTAATAAAGTGTGGCGTTGACGCATGTCTGACAGAAAACTGTTTATCACAGGTATGGATCTCATGGAGGGGCGCAGTTTATCCGAAGGATGGGCAGAGTTTAGAGGCAAGTTCTGGGAATTTTACAAGGTAAGTTAACCTGGAGGTTGAACATTAATTGTTCTTCATTCATCCCAACTGAAATTCTTCTTTGTCTTTAACAGAAGATGAGAATTTAGCGTTTAAACTGTAACTGAACATTAAGTAACATAAAATATAACTGTGCTCTACACGGCAAACGGAGGAACTTTACGAGTTACGACTATAAGTTACATGTAGCAATTTAGCTCTGTGCTCTTCTGTCTTAAATCTTGAGGTTGTTGTTACTCAGAAGGTTAAAAAAAAAAAAAAACCCAGCAGAGGAGATAAAACCTCCCAGTCTCAGCTGGTAACCTGCTGAGCAGACGGAGCATACTTCCCCCCTCTTGTCTGTTTCTCTGAGTAATTAGTACCTGCTTGTTTATCTTAATGTGTGTTGTTCTTGCTGACAGGCAGACTGCTGTGTTTGGCCCGCTGCTCAGATGATCAACTTCTACTTTCTCTCGCCCAAGTTCCGCGTCGTGTACATCAACTTTGTCACCTTAGGGTGGGACACCTACCTCTCTTACCTCAAACACAGAGTAAGTCAACCACACAGGAAGTTTTTGGTTTTGTTACCTCTTATTTTACCAATTAACAGCTGTACGGTGCTGTGTGCAGCTCCTCCCAGCTGTGTGTGTTCTGTCTGCTTACACATTTCCTCTGGGATGGCGAATGGAGCTGAAACTGTGTGTCACTGGTAGCAGATGGTATGTTTCTGCTCTATGCTGATTGGCTGACAAGTGGGCGGAAATAGGGAAGAGTGTGACAGTGGAGTTCACCAGGAATGGAAGAAGAAAATTTCAAAGATTAAGAAAAGCAGCATGGAAAACGCAGGCAGCTACAGTGGACACTATTCATTGTTTGTAACAGTTTCACTTCAGCTCTTTGAATGTCAAATGAACTCTCTCTCCACGGCTGGTTGACCAACAACAGCACAAGAGAGAATGATCTACAGATGGGTTGCACCACATACTTTGTATGCTGCCTCCATCATACAGCAGAGCTCCCTGCAGATAGACAGGCCATCCCTGTACTACCAACGCCATCCCTGCTGAACCATAGGTTCCAGTATACAGGCAGCCAGTCGGAGGAAAGCTGCTTTAAGCAGGAGGCTGACAGTGGGTGAACTGAGGGGCTCTACAAAGGCTCAGTATGAGCTCAAAAGGATTAATACGGTATATTGGGACTCTTACTCACCAGCGCTGCCCATGAGGTTCATTGCATCTCTGACTTTTCTAATCACTTATGTACAAAAGTGAAGTGATGTTGATCATGTCAATGCATCCACTGATTTGTATTGTCTTGACAGAAAGACGACCCCCATGCTGAGCTGGCATTAGACAGCAACGTTGCGGATGTACAAAAGGAAGTGCTGCCACAGTCCGAACCGTTGGAGGAGAAGGCTTAAAGAAGCTCAATAGAGAAGATACGTGTTGCTGTTTTTATGCATTTATACTCTTCCTCCCTTTGGAACTGCTGTCGGACTGTTGTGTTCATGCAACAGTGTGTGTTCCTGTGTTGGTCACTCAGATTTAAACTGATGCGTCTCTGGGAAGTTTGAAGTTAAAGTGCTGGTACACTTCTTCTTAACTCCCAAAGAGTTTAAATGTGTCTGTTTATGTGTGAATGATGTGCGCATGGATGAGAAGCTGTTTCACTGCCCTCAGGTACAGCATTTACTGTCAGAGTGAATTGAGCGGCTGTTAAGGGGAAGGTTTAAAAAGTCCCAAAAGTCATTGGACCCAAATTTTAAATCTGATTCTAGTAATGCTTTTACTTTATTTTTTTTTAATATGCTTTATTTAATAAAAAAAAAACCCAAAAAAAACCCAATCAATATTGATGTGAGAGAGCTCTACTACATAACTGCTTCAGCAGCAAACCATGTCTTTGAACATTGCCTTAATATATCATCCAGTGCTGCGTTTGTTTTAATGTCAATCACTCCATTTAACTTGACCCTCTGAGGTCAAATGAAGCATGATTATGGATCGATTTGTATTTTGTCATATCACATAGAATAACCGTTGAAAATAAGTAATTTTTAACTGTGCAGTAGTTTTTCACTAGTTACTGTAAAACTGACTGTATATTTCTACCAGTTTAATTTATTGATGATTTTTATTTTTTAGCTTTGGCAGGTCCAGTGATGATTTAGTTTATGTGATGATGGGGGGAGAAAAACCAGTATAAATGGTGTTAGCATAAACACTGTGAGGGTGGGGAGCGACACCATCTTCGGCGCTGCTGCTGTGTTCGTATAATGTATTTATTATATGAAATTTTTTCCCAGAGTTCTCCACATAAAATGCATCATTGGTGTACTACCTGTGTAAAAGAACTGAGAAGCCATGTATCAGCAGTCTGCTAAGATTTCTGAATGCTGAAGAATTTATTTTCACATAAATTCAAATCAAATAAAAAAAATCTTTCTTTTGGCACTTTTGTGGTTCTATCCTAATTATCCATATACTTTAGTTTGGACACATTATGTTACAACATGTTATCAATATTGAAGCAATTGAGAATTAAATGGGATAAAGCCCCCCCCCCTTATTTTTATAACCCAAAAGTAAATATGGTGATGTTTGCCCTCCTTATAATGGAGGAGGCTATTACCGTCACTGTGTTAGTGTTTTAACAGGAAATATTAGGGACAATGTTACAGTTATTCTCATATGAATGACATTTTAAAAATGTATTCTTTAATACTGTGCAAAATTCTTGAGCCACCCCTCATTTTAAAATATTCTCCTTCACAATAACCAGACTTTCTTGGATTTTTAAAGTGGCTTTAAGCAATAGTTCCCTAGATCTCTTTCAGTTGTTTCCTTTGGACATTGACTGCCTTTTTACTCATTTTCACTCCAGTCCTTGTTCTGTACCATTTTCAGAGGAAACATTAGCAGGGCATGTTGTTGCTAGCAGCCCATCACAACAATGCATAATTTGTTCCCATTTATTTGGCCGAGTCTGAAATATGCCAACGATAACACCGCATGTTGTGTTGTGCCAGCATGGAGGTTCCTAAAGAGCTCTAAGCTGGGAACCTCTGGATGGCAGTGTGACCTAAGAAAAACAAAGAGACAACTGAATATCTACAGCAGATGAACGATGTCTGAAAGTCACGTCGTTTTGAAAAATGAAAACATCCAGAAAAGACCCGAAACGTGACCTGAGAGACACACCTGACCCTTCAGCTACTGTTCACTACTGTTCACTGAGGCCTCATCAGAAATGGTGTCAGGGGAAGGATGGATGCCAACAAGTCAAATTTACACAACGACTGGTCTGTATGTATAAAGTTTCAGTGACGTACACAATATCAAAAACCTTAAAACAGCATAAAAATGAAAGAAAGTAAAGTTGAAGACTCAACTTAAAAAGAATAACATGCAGAAATAAGCTCCACTGCACCTGATTCAACAAAAGTGTCAAACGTGCAGTGGACAAAATGATTTTCTTGTTTCATCAAAAATAAAGTGTCCAGCTCTGTGCTGCAGCATAAGCAGCCTGCACAGTGCAGAGTAAAAGACCTGGGATAGCATAGGTCATTGCAGCTGGCAGCATGAGACAACTTTCATGTTTAAAATCTATTTTAGAAGTAAAAACTAATCTGCAGCTGCCTGCAGCAGGAATAGAAGCAAAAGCAAACACACACAACCTTGTTTAAATATTGACTGATAGTGTGAAGGGTTTAATGCTTGATATGCAACAGCCCGTGTTTGGAGCACATCCTGCTGTCAAGGATGTAGTTACCGCGTGTGTGTGTGCATGTGCGTTTGTCTGTGAATGTCACTGATATGACTGGCAGCCACTTCCCCTCTCAACATGCCCGCAACGATGCACCTCACTCTGCTGGTGTCCCTGTTAACAGCGACAGTCATCAGTGGTAAGTCAGCATTTTTCAACAAGTTTTCGCTTCTCAAAATTTTGTGTTCTATATGTTTGAACGTTAGGCTGAAGTCTTGTAGAAGTGCAAATTTATGCAAACAGGAAGCTTCGTGCAGTGAGAGACAGTCGGCCGGTTTGCCTGTGGCAGCGCGGCACTGGCTCTTGTTTTAAGTGTAATAAGAAGCAACCGTGTGTTGTCACAGACACATTTGTATTCATTCTGTTGCTGTTCATTACTACAAAATTCATATCATAAGTAAAGCGTGTATCTGTAAAACATAAGGGGAAGTTCACACCTGGGTGTAGACTGGGGCTAATATTTAATCAGTGATAGTGAGCTGAAGTCGAGCCTCCTGTGGCAAACACTTTACTGAACACACGTTGCAATTGCTTTAATATTACCTGACCCACTGCTACGCGCCAACACAATCTGCTTTTAGACACTTGCAGCATGTCGCAGTTTTCTGAAATTTACTTTGTTTTTGTTCTTTTGTCAAGTTTAAAGCCATTTCTTGCCTCAGAAAGTTGTCACAGCATTCGTACCTTAAGCTCCTCTGGATCTTTGCCCACATCGCATAATTGTACAAGTACAGTTATGTGATTTAAAGCTCCTAAACGCTCATGTATTTACCACTTAAAATCTCAGCTTCGTCATAGTTTGAAGGTTTTCCGGTGTGTTTTCTTTGTACACAAAGCGGATTTTAGGGGTAAAACAGTAACAGGTAGAGCAGCTACAGTGTTGATGAGGACCCCAACCTGAACCCTAAAGTGCCTACACTCAAACACCTGCCAAACTTCAATCCCACACAGCTCCGTAAAGAAATCTAAAACCGTCTTCATAAACAGTCCGAGGCCACAAAGATGATGCACATATAGATTGTTATTGTCTCAGGGGTGTGAATCTAACATACGTAGCTTCCTTAACATGATTTTATGATAAACGTGGTGTGAGTGGGTGTGGGCGGTGACTAGAAGATGAAACTTACAGAGTTCCATGATGAAAGTGAGCTTTGCGTAATGCATCATTACTATCATGTTAATTACGTGTGACTTAAGTAATAGTGGCAAAACTCCAGAATAGTGAATTTAAAGGTGTAGCATTCAAAATTTCTAATCTGTGATAATAAAGCTTATATTTAGGTTAAGGTAGGGTTACTTGATTAAAACGAATCAAATGTGAAATAAGAGCCTACATGACCACTTCAGAATCACCTGGGATTTATTTTTGTACTATATTTTGCACTCAATAAAAAGATTTTTCAGCAATAATTTTGAGTAAAACGCAGCTGAAATATATCCTTATTATAGAGTTTACCAAAAATTTAAGTACCAGCAACGTTCTGTTAGTCTGTGTCAGACATCAGATATGTATTTTGCTATTCAAACTCTGGGATATTCAATGATCTAAAAGTTGGTTATAGAAAAAAATCATACAAAGCAATTATTTTGTGTCAGAACTTTTTGATGATTACAACAACACCATGCTCTGTCAATAGGAAGGGCTAGGGTTAGTGCACAGCATTAAGCCATGCTTGTCTGCATTAGTGCTCTCATGCATTAAAAACATCCAGTGCAAGTATGGAAAAATGTAATTAAAACTTTCTTTGTGGTTTGTTGGCACCTTTAAGATGCCAACAAACCACTTGATCATTATCTCAATAAGGTGTGAATGCAGCATCTTATATTTATGTGCTGTTTGCTGCTCTGCAGAAACCACCACTTCATCCAGCTCATCCACTGCACAAACAACCACTAACAAACCACAGTCACCAACAACAATACTCCAGACTACCACTGAAAGAATAACACATCCAACTACAGCTGAAACGACAACACATCCAACTACAGCTGAAACGACAACACATCCAACTACAGCTGAAACGACAACACATCCAACTA